GACGATTCTTCCCACTCCCGTAACTATCTAAAAGAATGAAAGTTGTGGGGTTATCCAGAGTTAGGATTTGTGTAAGAAATAAGCTTTCTACCATGCAGGACCATTGTACGATTGCATGAGTCCCCTCTCCCTATCATGTGAGTCTCCCTCCTCTCCACTTGAAGCCCCGGCGTTACCCCATCTCCTAGCTCAGGAGATAGATCTACATTTTCTCCATGGACCCATGGAGTCTACATCTATGTAGATTTCCCATGTACATTTGTCCTTCAATTTGTTCTTTTCTACCACAAATCTGTTCTATGTTAGTTTGATTGCTCTGCCAACCCATGAGGAGCCCAGAGGGGTAGAGAAAATTATCTCTCTTCCCCTACACCCATGAGATAGTGGGGTGAGCAATTTAAGGAGGTGCTCACTCACTTCTGCAAGGGAAGGGCTAGCACCTGAGCCCAGGTGCCTTCTGTTTTACATGGTGGTCAACTTACTTGCCTCAGCCTAATTTCATCCCTAATCCCATCCCTGTGGACAGCTGGATGGAAGATAGATATGTAGATGTAGATGGACGGACAGATGGATGGATGGATGGATGGATGGATAGGAGGAAAGAAGGAAGGAAGGTAAGTAGGGAGGTAGGTGTATGGACAGACAGACAGACTGATTGATTGACTGAACAAAGACACAGTGGGTCTCCCTTCAAATCCTTTTGACTATCTTCCTTAAATTTAAGTTCTCTCACATTAAATTTGCCTTATGGCAAGATACCTGCCAACATCTTAATATGTTAAAGCAGGCCACCAGAGTCCAAGTCCTTAGCACAACAATACCCCTAAGATTGTTGTCTGCAAAATGCTTGCACCTGCAGTAAAAGGAAAAAAAAAGAAAAGACAGGAAAGCTGTAACCTAAATTCATGCAGAACCCTCACCATGTGAATCACTGTCCTTGCAAAATCAAGATACTAAAAAAGAGCATCAAAAAGACAAGGTTTTAGCCACCACAATTTATATCAGAATCCAACAGGAGAAGAGAATCCTTCGAGGTGTTGAAAGCAGAGGGAATATACTGCAGACAGCAGTTCCTCAGGCAGGGACGCGGCTGGGCCAGAGAGGCCAGCAGCCACGGGGGACTTGCTAGCATGCTTAGGCCGGAGCAGGGGCAGCACCCTGTGAGGGTGCAGAGAGTAGGTCCGGGGCCCGAAGTCCCGTGCCAGTGACGCTGCCTCTGGCTGGCAGACCGGAGTACACACACGGCTGCAGTTGTGTTCCAATAACACTTCACCACCAAAACAGACAGAGCGGTCACTTTGTCTTCAGGCAAGTCCAGACCTTGGGATAGGAAGACCAAAGCATAGACGCTGCATTTAGGGTCAGCAGGTGAGCTGAAACCACAGCAGGTCTGGCTATTGGGAGCAGCAAAAGGCAGCCTGTGTCAGAGGGCATGAGACACATGGAGAGAGGGCAGAAAATCCCCGGCTTCTCCACTCCCCTACTCACAATCCTGACAGCTCTTCTCACAGGGGTACCTGCAGAGGTCAGCCCCCAGAATACAGAGGGGAACAGAAATGGAAGAACACAAGGTCAAACAGGCCCCAAATTCTCAGCCATCAAGTCATCCCATACCGGAAATAAAGGCCCCTGGTACGGGACACATCTCCTCCCTGGCAGAGCTGCCATGAGAATGCATTAAAAATTCAGTCCAGGCCCTCCCTGGTGGCACAGCGGGTTAAAGCACAGCACTGAGAAGCTAAGGCCACTTCCGCATGAGTTCGATTCCTGCCTGCCCCGGAGGAGACCACATGGCGCGGCAGACCTCTCCTGGCCCGCCCGCTGCTCCCCTCAGCAGTGTACTTTGTCGATCTGCCTGTTCTGCTCCCCACTCTGTCTCTGGTGAAGCCTCTCACCGCCCCTGAGCCTCTGGCCTGGTTCTGTATGTACAAATAAATAAATCTTTAAAAAAAAAAAAAAATTCAGTCCAAAGAAGGGCGAGGTAAGAATACATACTCAACTCAGTGAAGTTCGTCTCAATAAGGGAGATCCAGAGCTAAGGGGTACTTTGGTCACTCACAGCACCTGAGCAAGCCCAGATGCAGCAGCACAAGTGTGTGCCTGTGTGTGTCTGTATATGTGTGTTCATGGGTGCCTGTGTGTGTGTCTGTATATGCATGTTCATGGGTGCCTGTGTGTGCCTATACATGTGTGTTCATGGGTGCCTGTGTGTACATGTGTATTCATTAGTGTCTCTCTGTGTGTACATGTGTGTTCGTGGGTGTGTACATGTGTGTTAATGGGTGCCTGTGTGTGTGCCTGTATGTGGGTGTGTGTGCAGATTCTTAGACGAAGCAATGATTCTTTAACTCCATCGCTATCTTTGCATTTCCCCCCTTTCGACGATTTAGTGTCCCAGGAGCTCGCTGCTGTGCATTTCCTCCCTTGGCAAGTGTGAGCCTCAGTCTAAGGAGCAGTAAGGTGTGAAAGCGATCTAGTCACATCCAGCCACTACCCAACGAGGAGCAGGCAACTGAGTCAGGCCCTACAAAACATATTGTCCATTTCCATTTTAAAATGTTCGTTAAAGGTAAACAAAAAGCTTTTAGAGTCCTGCCTGGTGCAGCGGGTTGGAGCTCTGCACTGCGAGGCTAAGCCAACCCATGGCCGTTTCACTGAGAGTTCGATCCCCACCCTGGGGGTGACCCACAGGGCGCAGCAGCCCGCTCCTGTCACCCTGCTGCTCCCCTCAGCAGTGCACTTTGTTGGTCTGCTGACCACTCTGTCTCCAGTGAATCCTCTCACTGCCCCTGCACCTCTGGCCTGTACCCCAGTTCTCTATGCATAAGTAAATAAAGTATTTTTAAAAAAGCTTTTGGATGAAGCCCACACTTATTTCTAAAACCAATGTCATTGTATTTCCCATGTTAAAATCAGGTCAGTGGGTAAGGAAGCACTTGAAAAGAGAATGCAAAAACACTGCAATTCTCGCCCCCGGGATGGTGCAAAATTATCCACTTATGGGCTTCAGAAGTAATCACCTAAACAAAATTAATTTATTTTAAGCAAAAGATGGCGGTGAAAAGGTCAACAACATTTTATAGGTGAAACATTAGTAAGGACTAGTAGTATTTCAGATACTTGTAGGAAGTCCTTTTCTGTGAAACGTGTCTCCTAATGTTGACATAGCAGACTCCCTGAAGACACCCCGAAGAGGCAGCTTCCAGTTTAAAGTTGCCTGGGCGGCTGCTTTCACAGGGGGTCCCACCGCTTCGTAGACACCCCACATGATGCATCTTCCCAAGCCACATTGGCAGCGTTTGTGGTCCAAACTACAAATTCTCGGTGGCAAAAAATCACCCTCACCATTGAAATTCTTCACCAAGATATAAATTGCAGCCCTCAAAGAAGTTCATGAAGAACCTTCAGCGAGCTCTTCATTGAAGATTTAATTAAGCATAAATACAGTTTGCACATAAGTTCAGAAGCACAAAGAAGTCAAAATTCTAGCAACTTCCGCAATGGGGGGAGGGAAAAGAGAGCAGCCTGGTGGAGCCAAAGCCCCATAAACACCGCTCCTCGGAGCACGCCTTTCTTATTGTGGATGTCTTTATCCAGCCGTCAACATCCTTCCTCTTGCTCTGCGCTCTCGTGGACCTTCCTCCATAACCTCGGCTGTCCTCCCCCGGTGCCTATATTCCCCAAGCTCACAATTTTTCTTTCTAGCCTTTATGTTCTTCCACAAACTACCAGTGCTCTTCCACAGGCCGGGGCTCCCTAACTAAAGATGGTTATTGATGTACAGTACCAGTGTTTTAGTGCAGCAGCAGAATCAATAAATGAGAAAATACTGCTTTGTCAGGTTTCACCAAGGCATGCTGGGAAACTTTACTGCTTCAGATGGTTACAGAAACCCTTCAGCGGGGGAGCAAGAGCAGGCTCCCTTTCTTGGTAAGAAATGATGTTCTTCTACCCTCTAGTGACTATAAAGGAATAAGACAAAAGTTGGAGGGATTTCTGAGACAGCTTCTCAGTATTATTTATGGTCTCTTAATTTTATTTCTCAAACAAAGCCAAGTCTTAGAAACCTAGTGACCTTGGGAGGGGAGTGGAGAATAAAGCACCTGGTCTTAGCTATTTTTGAAGTATTCAAAATATACTTTCAAGAGGATATACATTCTAGTAAGAGTCAGAACTTGGACTCCTTTGGATTTCAAACAGTAAGGTTTGCAAAGCATGTCTTCTTCCTAAATGACTTTGGAGAGTCGGGTTATAAGTCTCTCTCTCTCTCTCTTTCTTTCTTTCACTTTGTCTCTCATTCACACACACACACACACACACACACACACACTCAGACAGTCCCACAAACACACACAATTTTTGTTTATTTATCTTTACAGTAATCTCTACGTTAATCATTTAAATTATAACCTGACTTGTAATAACTGATGAATTTAGAACACATTCCTATTTGGGGATACCTATATTTTTCACAAACTAGACAGTAGTGTGCAATTGCTCAAAAAGATGCAAACAATGTGAAAAAAAAAACACCAGGACATCATGAAATAATCCTGGAATAAACTTAAGGTAATACATGGCTATTGAGAAGAATATAAGAAGGGTCTTCAAAATTGATGACATATTCATCTCAATTAATCTTTTCATTGCCCCTATCACACAAAAGCTGGGTTCCTTGTAATGGTAAATAACTTCCTAAAGGATTAAAGCTAACTGCACTGCTCCGAATAATCCAAGCTTAATGAAGTGTAACAGTCTGACATGGTTGGTACATATGAAATGTCACTACTAAGACAAGGGGAAGTTCAAACATCTGGCTAGACCCTTATTAAATGAAATTTCAAAGGAGATGTTGTTTCTGTTGTATTCACAACAGCATGAGAGGGAGAAAATGCTGTCATATGTAAATGTTGGATAATATCCATCATCTATACATCGTGTTTGCTACAAACATGATTTTTTTTTTACTAAATGATATATAGGGAAAAAAAGTTATTTACCTTGCTGGCGCTCAACCGCTTCCGATTTGACCATCGCTAAGGATTATGTCCATGGAATGGAGGAAAATAGCAAAAAGGAATAAAAAGAAAGGAAATCATTAATGACATCGTTGTATTATTACATGACTGAGACAGTAGGGCTATGTTTCAACAGTCAACACCCAACCTCTAAGGTTACTAGGAAAACACATATGTGAGCAAGAAAATAGAGAAAGAAAATTTCCTGGGGTCAGTTGAAATCATTTTCTCAGGATATTCAATAGCGAAAAAGACAAGGACATAGGAATCCAAGTCCTTTGTTAAGAGCACATCCATGTTCTTAACTGCCTCAAGCACAATAATTTTAACTCTAAAAGCAACGAGGAAAGGCAGTTTTCTCCTACTGGAAATACCCAGAAACAATTATGAAAGTTTTTAAGAAACTCATGGGCAATGTTAGTTGATGTTCAGGTCTTCATAGCTGTAAATGCTAGAAAAGAATAATTCCATTTATCTTCACTAGTAAAATCTCAATATTCAAATTAGCAGAAAAATTCTGAGTTCCTCCTACACAATTAAGAAATCTTGGCTAGAAAGCCAGAATAGACACAAAAGCATTTTCTGAACACAGTTTAACTTCACCACTGTTCTCTTTGAACTCTCACTTGCCATGCTAAGATTGCTGGATTTCAGCTACAATTAGAATTCTCTTCTAGCAAAATCCTCTCCTTACGCCATCCAGTACTGCAAAGCTCTACTCTGGCTGGTTAACCAGCTAACTGGATGTTAAAACTTGGATAAATTTGGAAGATTACAAATCAATTATGAATCTAATCGAGCAGAGCGCATTCACTATTATGCTTAAAGAAAAATACCTTTAGGCAAATGACCTTTCCACTTTGCCAATATGTCTTCCCAATAAATTAGAAACCAGAAAATAAAGAGTCTTGGGGGGAAATGTGCTTCCATGCCAGTGACCAGCAAATAGAAATGCTGGTACACCAATGACTTGAAAATATTTCCCAGTAGAAAACACTTCCCTGGATGAAAGTGTTAAGCCCACGCTCAGTACAGGACACGGACCTCCAGACACTAAATCTTGGCACTGCGCTCCAGTCTCGCTGCATTTTCCCAACAGTGTCGTGACAGATGCATCCTCCCAAACCACCACCAAAATGAATCAAAATCTTCCCAGTGCATCAGGTTATTTGGGGCCTTTTCATACACAGTTGTTTGAATTCTTATAGTCATCATAAGTGATAAACAAAGTGGGTAAGGACACTGCTAGACGTGCCTCTTAGAGCCTGTTTAGCAACATCCCAAGAGCCACCAGAATGCCAAGCACTGAATCTGATTGTTATAATCCTCAGACTGGTAAAACAGATACTGTTGTTTTCATTTCCATTTCATACATGAGGAAACTGCGGCGGAGAGAAGCTAAGTAACTCTCTGCATTTGACCTGATCACTCAACTTCTCAAAACTAGCAAGCTGGGACACAACCCAGGCTATCTGAAAGCAGAACCTCATGCTCAATGTGAGCCTTTGTTGGTGGGGAAAACGAAAGAGACTGAGAGGGGGGCTGAGGGGCTGAGCTGGGACCCTGCTGCTAAGTGGAGTTTGCTCTTCACACTCACAGCTCGGGCACAGGGACCACAGACCCCATAGACCCTGCACAAGCAGCCTTGGAGGCTGGGGGAAAAGTTCGGGAAACTGGGAATCAGAACAGGGAATCAAAACAGACTCCATCACTGGGAGTCAGCAATGTACCTTAGAAAGAAGCTGTTCCCGGCTAAACAGCCCACTGTCTCTCCAGACTCCGGGGTGAGTGATTTCCATTAAAAACCCAGTGTCAAAATCTTTCAGTATGAAGTTCAATTCAATAAAAGCTATTTTACTTTATATAATTTCCATAGTATCTACTGTAGACCAATATGCACATTGAAAAGCCACAGGAGAAACTACTCTTTGTTCAGCTACACTTTAATCCAGTATACTTTATATACACAGAAGACAAAATGACCAAGCAGACCGTGTAAGAGCAGGCAGGGGTCTCTGTATCACCACACCACATAGAGACATTTAAAATAAATACACTGGACAGTAGACCTCTGCTGCTCAAGCACGAGCAAAGAAAACGAGACAGTGCCTGTGTGAGCAGATACCTTGGTGACAAACTCTGGAGGTGTCAAGGAAAGAGCAAACCAAATAAGAGAAAAAGTGAGCCAGATCGTTGGACCTCCCAGCAATATTCTTTGAGATGTTTTACAGAAACAAACTCGAGCTGCATCTAATATTAATGATTCTGCAATTTGAAATATATTTTAACTAAACTGGCATGACTTTAAAGCTCTTCCTCTGGCACTAGAGAAATATATTAAATATATTAAAAATATTGAAAGCTAGGGTTATTGCAGAACATACTGCAATATACTACAGAAAAATTCATAAGGCAAATAAATATATCCAAATATGCAGCTTTTGACCTGGGGAAATTACCCAATTTTACCGACCTCACTTAAATATCAAAAAATGTTTTAGAAGATATTCGCTGGCAATTGCTAAAGCATGTGGCAAACAATGGTGGGATATGGAGCACTCCGGTTATCTAATCCAGTGGGAGGCTCTAAAGACTAAGAGAAGCCAAAGAAAACCCCTTCTTTGTTATATCAGAGAGAAAAAAAGTTTAGTTTCAACATTAAGACATGTCAACATCAAAATATCAGCTTTATTGAGGTCTCACAGTGCCACCTCTTAAAAATTAATAAACAGAGCTTTATTTTTTTTTCAGTTATTGTTAAGAAAATTCTCAAATTCAAATTAAAAATTGCCGCTATGTACATGACTTCTGGTGATGGCAATGTCTGTGTGCAGCTTTCCTACTTCTTCACACTATCATCTGTGCACTTACTAGTAAATCAGTCATGACAGTCATCGTGAAAATAAATTACAACTCACAGCAAAGGTAATGTCAAAATGAAGAATATTCTCCTCCATGACCCCACTGCCTCCATTCAGGAAGTATTACTGGAGGCCTAATTTATAAACAGGCTTCAGATGCTAAATATGCCCAACTTTTAACACACTTTGGTCCCTCTGCAAGTAGTCAGTAGCCTCTAAAAATACCTTCAAATAAGTTACCATCAAAAGACCAAAGAAAACTCTACATGGAAACCATAACATTAGCAAAGTATATCTCATAGGACATGTTCTAAGCAAACCGTAAGGACCACGTGCATTTTACTAACAAGAGACCAATGTGCACCCCTAACCAAAACAGGGGTAACTCCTTAATGTATTTTCTTTCCAAAGTCCCAAAAGAAAAAATGTCTGTACCCCAGACGGGGGATTGTAAGTTTTCACAGTGTTGTTTGTATCCCCCCAAATAATCACAACACTCTCAGTCACCCGCTCGTGCAGTTAGCAAAGGACAATAGCTCTGAAGAGTTGAAAAAGAACAAAAGGGTCACACTTACATGTCTCTTGAAATCGCCCTGTTTTACGACGAGATTCAAATTCAACACAATCACCCCCATGTCATCTTCTAAGCTATTGGGATCTTCCAACTTTAAAATATGCTCAGTTGTCCTGCAAGCAAGGAGCAAGTCAGCGTTAGCTCGTCCTGGCAGTACAGGAAAGTTACTTGAAGCATCAGGAGCTGATGGTTAATCTCCCACCTCGGAGGGAGGGTGACACATTTAAAAAAGCACCAAATCCAGTGCAAACCAACCGACTCTAGGGGAGAGAACTGCCTGATTCAACAGTTGGTTAAGCGACATTTCTTCCCTCTCTCCCAAATACAGCTTAAGGACTTTTGGTTTTCAGTTAGGTAGATTAATTAACTCAAACGTGACCAAAGGAAAATGTAAAATCCAACACAAATGTTTAAACACATGATGGAAGATTTAATATCTGATTAATATCTTGGGCAGCTCAAAAAAAAAAAATCATAGGAAAGCTCTCTTTCGTCTTGGTCATCTGCCCTGGACAAAGACATTTAACATTGTCTTGAGTTCCCTCTAGGCTCCTGGGTAACAATTCAAGTTAAGATATACGATACCTGTTAAGTTCCAGATCACTGAGAACGATAAAAGCAGAGCCCATGAAGTCAGAAGTAGTGAGGTCTCGATCATAAACCTACAAGCGGAAAGGAGACCAGCAACACACAGAGCATGAGTTTATCGAACATAAACAAATGCAACAGGCTGGGAATCTGGAAATCAGTCTTCAGATCTAAATATAATTTGTACTGTACAGCTAAAGAGAAACTTGACTAAGCGGGTGGAGAGAACACAAATGACTCAAACTTGCCCATTTTACCTCCCTCTGCCAAAACAACAGCAAAAAAATCCTTTTAAAGCAGAACTCGTATGCATTAAAATATTATGTGCAATGGACCACTCTCTGTAGCTTAAACGGTCGCTCATTAAAATTTAGTATTTTCTCAGTGAGCAGATCTGCCAATTAAATAGAAATTTGCTAAATATTCTATAGCAATTCCAACTCATGCAGTTTTAACCCAGATGTTTGAGCAACCGATGCTTACAGCCAGTAGCTGGGAGCTCTATTAAGTATAAAGTTATTCCTAATGAGAAAGGCTTTCCTACTTGGTGTTGCTGCTTAACAGTAATAATTCTTCCACGTTCAGTAAGTTTAAACACAACCAATGGAGAAATTATTTTGCCTATGATTTTTGGTAACACATATTCCATTAATCTGGCTCCCCGCAAAGGGTATAAGGAATCCCTTGCCTACTAAGATTTTTAACCCAGTGCTGAGAATAAAAAAGAGTTCATTTGGGGAAGTTCCCTTTTAAGAGGGCAGAGCTTGCTGAGAAAGAAATGATTTTAAATAAAAAGCAAATCTGAAAGCCATCTGGGGTTACCTTCACACGTAGCTTTTGATCAAGGCTTTGTATGGGTAACACGACTATCTCATCCCAAATCGGGTTCAAGTTCTTATATATGACTTTGCTTTTGTACAGTGTCTTCCCATTCAGCTTGAATTTCACATAGGGATCGCTAGTGCCTTCAAAAGAAAAAGAGAACAAGACAGATCTTAAAAATATACATGCAAATCTAGACTCTCCATTAAATAAAACGCCTTTCCCGCACTCCCAGGAACCCCGCATTTCACCAGGCACACCCAGAACAAACGTCTCCCTGGCGGAGACAGAGACCCCCGAGGTGGGAAGAGAGAAATTAAACCATTTAGGATAAATGTCTGATTCTTCTTTGCTTTTTTTCATGGTGGAATATAAAGGGGCTCCTTGAACTTTTCTGCTTTGTTGCATTGTGTAGATGTCATCACTACGCCCCTCCACAAAAATTCAAGAAAATCGCCCTCCCGGGACCCCAGCCCAGGGTGTCAGGACCGTGGGGGAGGGGTCCATCCTCTGCAGAATGTCAGGGAGTCCCTGAGAAGGGAAAGAAGCAGTTTGCAAACACTGGGCCAGATGGCTGACTCAACAGAACCCTGTGCACTAGAAGATAATTGTAATAAATAAACCCATCTCTGGACTCAAAGCCTAGGGGGACCCACGAAGGCTGGCCATGGGGGGTGCGGAGATCCAGCCCACAAAGTTACCATTCTTCCCCACCTGCCGCGCCTGCCCCCAAGCAGGGCTTTGTCTCACCAGGGCCAGCTGAACGTCACACCGCCCTCCGCTGGCCCCAGGGTGACACCCCTGACCCACCACTCCCCCTGACTCGGGAGCTTTGAAACAGATGCCAGAAGGAATGAATAATCTGTCTCAGCCCCTCTGTCCAAAGCAAAAAGGGCCAAAGTCAGACCCTCCTCCAGCCTCTCCAGATCAATGGAGGGAAAAGTGCTATGAGAACCCATGAAGGATGTGTCCACAAGCATGTAAGGGATGCAAGCATGCCATCATGCGTGGGACATGTGTGCTGCTTTTGTACAGCATCTTCCCACTCAGCTTAAACTTCACATAGGGATCGCTAGTGCCTTCAAAAGAAAAGGAGAAAAATACAGATCTTAAAAATATACATGCAGGCCCTCCCTGGTGTCACAGCGGGTTAGGACACAGCACTGCAAGCTGCAAGCTGGCCACAGCCGCTTCAGTGAGAGTTCGATCACCCACCCCAGAGGTGACCCACAAGGTGCGGCAGACCTCTCCTGTCTCCCCGCTGCTCCCCTCAGCAGTGTGCTTTGTC